TCTGCGTAGCGCCAATAATAAACAAGATGAAATCCTGCTAGCCACAGAGTTAAATAAAAAATTGGTAAATTATGAAATATTAGTGTTTCTTTGAAAATTAACTATTAATATAATATTTCTGTTACAAGTAAATAGCTAATACCATGATGAATGGAATGTAAGATCATTTTGTTGTGATACGATTTTGATGTTTACGCCGATGACACGCACACATACGAATACATTATTATTATTATGTATGCTTCATTTTTGGTGAATTTTGCAAAATTACGTACGTCGGCCTTAGGCATTATACAATACACATATACATATGGACACTCAATTTTTCAATATTTGATTGAACCTACATATATACAGCGCACTCTTTCCAACTTTTGTTGTAGTTGTTGTCCCTTTCATTTATTGAGGGTTTCGACTATTCATTTGCTACTTATCTTTTATTTATTTTATTCGCTCTTTTCGCAAGCTATACTGACGGATTATTGTTCATTTTTTTTACTTTTCGTTGTCGTGGTCTTCGTTTTTATTGCCTTTTTTGTTATGTTCTTTCTCTCTATCTTGCACGCGCTATTTTTCAGTCGATGTAAACTGTTATTTTAATTTGTATATCTTCATTCTCATACTTTCGTAATTTAGAAATATTATACATTTGATATGAGCAATGTTTTTTGTTTGGATCGGTCGAAGAATCAATATGAACTTTTGTTCACAAATATTCTTTTATATAACAAAATCAAATATCATAATATACATGCCTAACCTTGCACGTTCGCACTCTTTTTTGTTGAATGGATCTAGTCACACCTACACTTCCCAACTCAAAGAGAGGTCAAAGCATGACCATATTAGAAAGTGACCATACTGATGTCAGTGGGAATCAAAAGCAGAGAATTCGCACATCAACTGTTGTGTTCCATTTGTATTTTTGATTTGCAGCCAATCAAATTAACATATATGGCGATGAAGAAAACAAAAAAGCTGGTTTATTTATGACATTTTGTTTGTAGGAACGATATTCGGCAGTTTTTTAGTTTAGGGATACATTAATTGCAGCGATATTTTGTTTCTTTTTTGTATGTTATGACTCAGTTGGGAGTCTGGTCATTTGTTATCTGTGGTGCGATTTTGAATTATTTATTTTATAAAAAAAAATTTGGTTCAGTTATTCCTCAGTGAAATTGAATGTAAAAAGAGTATTTGCCTTCCACCGATGAGTATATATACTACAAACAAAAATGTAATGTTTTTTTATTCATTTTAACGTTGAAAAATGTAATGTTTTGGCCCAGTTTAGTGGTAATTTTTGAAAGAAAATTGTATGCAAAAGAGTAATATATTTCAATAGAATATTTCCATTTGTTTTATTTACTGGTGTGAGACTTGATGTCGGAGTTGAAGTTTAAAGCATTTTTATAAACAATGATCGCATCGCATACATAAACATTTCTCTTTTCGATTGTGTTTACATAAAACGTTTCGACCGACTTCGTGTGATAGCTATGTGTGTTTGTTGATTAACAGTATGTTTCGTAAGCAATAACAGCATTTGATACAACGTATTGATTATTCATATGCATTTCTGTCTACATATACATTATGTATCACTCTGTGTATTCACTCAGATTTTTCTTAATTTGCTTGTGTCAGCAAAATTCAAATTTCAACAGAAAATCACACATCTCTCTTTGTTTATAATTTTATATTTCGATTTTGATCATCGGCCATTTTTAATGAACGTTTACTTTTGTCGATTCAACAATAATTCCCTATAAATTCGGGTGCATTTTTGAGGTGATTACACAGTTTAGCAAAGAATTTCACAGCAGTAAGTGTAGCGTCTCTTTGACCGCTCTATATTTGTATATATATTTTTCAAATGAAAAAGTGTTTTAATTAAATTTATGCAATTATTTAATCTCTCTCGCTAGCCTTGTGTTCCAATTGCCGACCATTGCATCGTGAACATAACATTTTCGAACGCGCTTTTTGTCATTTTGCAGTGAAAGTGCTGTTGGTAAGTACTCAAAAACGAACCCTTTTTCTAGATTTTTTTTTTTTGAAGTGTTCAATGGACTTCATCGTTTGTCACGAATTTGACCATTTTTTCTTGTTGTTTTTTTCTGAACAGATTAAATTTTCATTACAATGAAGAGGAGACGTGCAAAAATAAATACAGCCTTTAAGAAAAATACAACAAAATTGAAGGACAATGACGAGTTGCGATCGATAAAACTGTCAGCGCCTTCAGTGTTCAAGTCTGAATATTCAGAAACGCTTACAGAGCATTTTTTCCATAAATGCTACGATGGTACAGTGATATGCTACCTAGGTTAGACATTGTTTTTATATTCTGTCAATATAATATATTGGAGTACTTCTTGCAAATGATTCGCTATCAGTTGAACGAAGACCCGAATCGGCGCATAAAATTTGATGGAACTGACATGAGGAATGCAAAGAACAATCCTATGAGCTGTATGAACAAGTCGCCGTACGCTGTTTACCATCATTTCGCAACCATTTGTCAATGATTGAATACATCGAGAAAAAGTGGTTTGAATCGTTGTGGTTTTTCATCTTCATTCAACGTGAAATAAGTATATTTTTGGAAGAGCATCACGATCTTGTGCAATTATGGCTACGACACCAACGCCATCCGCTTTTTTATTGCGAACCATCCAAACCATTGCTACCAAAAATAAGAAATTTCACCGTCATACCGATATGTGACTCGCAGCTGATGAGCCTGCTGGCCCAATGGAAAGTTGTGTCGAAGATATTCAACAATGATGATGGAGGGCATAATATGTATAGCCGTAACTATTACGAGGAGAACGAAGATGAAGCATGGGCCATTTTGTTCAACATGGACAAAATCAACGAGATCAAGAAACCGAACCAAAACTTTCATCACATGATAGTTTGTGATAGTGTTTCCGCGTCGGTATTGTACAGAGCACCAAAGCCTGAGATCGAGAATACGGAGCTGCATCGACAAAGAATCAAGCAAAAACTCGAGAACAATGAGTATAAATACATCGTCGCAATTGATCCCGGTATGAAAACATACTTAGCCGGAATTCGTCGGAATATTGAAGATCGTACTGAGGTGAGTTTATATTTAAATAAAATGTTTTCTACAAAAATCAATGCTCATTTTTAAATTGTTTTGTTAAAGGAAAATTTCAAGATATCTCCGAAGTCATATCATTGGGGTGCCGGACAAAAAGTCAGAGGCTGCATATGCTCGGCGACGATATGCACGGCTTTCGTTTGACAAATTGTAGCGTAACGTTAAGTCGCAACGACCAAGCGTACGCAATACGAATTCAATTGAATAAAGTGTCTCTTACTATCCACACGTACTGTTGTTTGGTTCCTTCTTATTGAATTCCACATCTACATATTTATACTGAACTCTTAGTTTACATGGCGAACCTGATAAAATAAAAAGGAATGAAGTAAAATTAATTTTTTTTTTAAGCCAAAGGGCTTGGCCATGGCTGAGCCCAGTGAGATCAATGATTACAAGTGTTTATAAATGATTCACAATGGTAAACAGTGATAAATTGTGATTGAGTGATCAATAAAATTGAAATAGATCCGACGATGAAAAAAATGAAATAAAGTTCCAATACAGTACAAACTATGATTATAAAGTAAAGTTAAAGAGAAAGTTCACATATAAGTCTGAAAACAATAATAGACATACCAAATAAAACGAAATGAATAAAAACTTAAAATGAAAAGTGAATCAGTTCAAATAAAATATATTGAACAAAAAAAATGAACAGAAATGAAAAGAATATAAATGAAATGTGATACGTAACGAACATTGAATCAACGGCTGTGTAGTCATAATTTTGCTACATAATTTTTTTTTCAAAATTTATTGTTTCAATTAAGTGTAGAGGAAGTGTAGGTAAGTGTACAACATTTTGTTTCAAAAAATCGACCTCTTTTTTTGGGGTCCTCATAATTTTGCCCGGGGTAGCTTTTTTCTAAATCTAAAATTTTATGTAATGTATTATCGTCCTAGCGCAGTGTAGTATTTTAGTACTGGTGGCGCCATCAAATTTACAGTACTTTTGGCAAGACTGTTATTAGTGTTTTGACATTTCATGAAATGTGACATTAATGTTTGTTGATATGAACCGTGTTTGAGTTTTTGAAATTCTAATTTATTATTGTGAGTTTTTATATGTATTTTATTATTATGATAAAATAACAGTGAAAAAAATGTGTGAAAACATATGTAATTGTTGAAAATTTCAAAAAGACAAGTGTAAATTTCTTGAATTGAATTGGTAAAATTTCTTATTATTTACAAGGTGCGTCGTTCTTTAAGGAGTCAGTCAAAAATATATTTCTTTTTTATTACTTCATTAAGCGTCATTAAGTTCAATATTTTTAAAAAATATTATTGAGTTTTCCTCAGAATTATTGAAAGTTAGTTATCCGTTCTGTCGATTAAGGTCGAGTAAATACACTTGTGCCACCGCTAGAACATTTTTGTTCCAGCCGTAACACATTTACACACTCACAGTGCACCGCTCAGAGATACTCATAACAAACACATGTAGTAAAAAGAAATATATTTTTGACTGACTCCTTAAAGAACAACGCACCTTGTAAATAATAAGAAATTTTACCAATTCAATTCAAGAAATTTA